GCGATTACAGTCGTTCACCGGCAGTCACGTTAATGCTCTTTTCCGCGATACGCTTTTTACAACTGCGGAATTATTGTGCGCGCGCATAATTTCGGGCGCATTATATGAACGGCAAATTACTATATTTTTCGGTGAATATATACATAATGTAGTGTCGCATGTTTAATTTCCCGATAATAAGTATAAACGTAAAATCGCGCGTGCGCGAAGTCAGCCGGGGTTAAATAACATTTCTTATGAATATATTATCATGAATTGTGATGTTGTTTGCCAGCGACATCAAAATTCCGTAATTATTATCCTGTTTACTTGTTATCCCCATGCTTCACGTAAAAGTAAAACTGACTTTTATCGAGATAAATGTCTGTTTTTTTAATTAATTCAATAGTAAAGATGACATCTTTCGTTGCGCAAACATTCCGCCGTTAGTTGCTATTCTTTATTTATCCAAGCATTACCGAACGCGAAAAACAAGCAGAGACGAAGATCGAGCATTATCGGATACACCGCTGTTCCCCAGAATGTATTGAACTTTGATATGACGTATTACCGTATTTTCCTTCCTTCCGTTAACTTTTATTATGCATAACCGACGAGAAAAAAGGGGGGAGAAAAACACGCCGAGCAATCTTATGCGCGCTTCTATTATAAGTCGCGAGACGCATCGACAACGAAACATTATAATTATCGTTATAATTATGGCGTGTCCGTTCCCGTAATCGCTAGTATAGTACATAGTTAACGAAGAAATTTAATATGCCGCGGCGCGGGTTCAGTTATTGCAGTACTACCGGCGGATGTTGTGTGGTTATTGTGCTGTGTAGAAGTTTGTCAGACGTGGAATTCGATACTGAAAATGCTCCGTAAATATACGGAATCACTTGCCTGCACACGCGGAATTGTTATCTAGCGTTAATTATCGTGCCGCGAGCAGATACGTGTAGGTATCTTTCGTATAGAAGAGTTACGCAGCAATAAAAAATCTAAGTCTGAATGAATTGTTTATTAATTTGAAATCACTATAATAATAATAATAATAATAATAATATAAAAGCAATAGAATAATAAATTATAACAGTCTTGGTGTTCAAAATGTTTTTCTTTAATCGGTTAATTAACACGGATAAGCTAATTGAAAATAAAAACGTTCGAGTAAGGCTCCTTTTGTCATCTTTGAGTAATTACGGACTTTCTCACAAGATTAGCTTAAAACTTGGGAAGACACGATGAATCACAAGATCCGATTAAAGTTTTTCGCAATTTATACCGTCGATAATCGCGTATTAAGTAGCGATAAGCCGGTGCGGTTACGAAAATCTCTCGAGCCACCTCGGCAATCTCCGTCGCGCCGCGATACCTTATCAATAATCAATCTTCCGTGTTAACGAAAGTTTCGCGGGAGAAAGAGAAAGGAGCGGAGAAACGCGAGCCTACGTAGCGGAATAAGAGGGGAAATGGCAGTTGCACTTTCTCAGATCAAGCCGGGCGAGCGGATGAATATGTCAGCCAAGTTTCGCTGCTCGTCTCTCCGCGGGTGAATTTTTATTGGGGAGGAAAAGTTCCTTTTTTCAACTAAGTGATATACATCACCTCTCGATAGGGAAAGGAGTCGATAAATCTCCCATTCATGAACGTCGAGTGGATGATTGATCAAATTTCTTTGTTACGAAACGCGAAACCATTTCGGGGGGTGAAACGCATTTATCATTGTTTCATTCGCGACCCGAGATACGGGATGAGGATCTTTACAATTAGCGATTGAAATCAGATATTTGTAATTAATCGGGCTGCTTTGCCAACTTTCGCCGCAATTCGAGAACTCGGCAGCGCGGAAAATTAAATCCCGCAGTTTCGCTCGGAGTGTCGCTCGAATGTTGTATTCAATTTGTCGGGTCTTACATTGTGCGGAATTATTTTATTACGGAATGGCGTTTGTCGTTAGAGGTGGATGTGTGCGCTTGACAAAGGGTATTCCATAGTATACCGGTATTCCCCGTATCCGACATTTCATGTCCGCGTGCCTAATGTGGAGGATTACCCAAGAGCGGTAATCCTTGGCAGGCGCATTATCGACGAATTGGCGTATTCACGTCGTCTCACGCTTGATACTTGATTTCCGAGGCAGCTTAAATGCGACGTTTATCTCGTGCTTTGCCAAACGCGGCGTGTAAATTATCCTAATGGACGCACATATAACGCAGCTGCAGACAGGTGCGATATTATGTGCCGGATTAGTGTGCATTATCAAATTAATTAGATTCTCTCGTTACGCAATATGCCACTTAAATGACTTGTAAAAAGCCAGCATGAAAAGCGTAAAAAAATGTTTTAACTGTAATCTAATTTTCCGCGCACATTAGCATTTAAAATCTGACCGCAATACGCGATTAAATGTCTACGCAACATTAATTTTCACTATGTTTTTTAAGAATTAAATTTTCACGGCAAACACAAATGCGAAGCAAACGCTTCAGTCGAAGATACAAACAAAAGTATCCTTACTTCGTGCGCGGAATAAACCGATATCCCTGATCGCTGGCGCAAATATTGGGAGAAAGAGAGAGGGAGAGTGCGCGCGGGCGTTAAACTCTCGCAGTCGGGACGAGATCCGGCGGAAGGTGATTTTCTTGCAGTGAAGAAACTCTGAATATTTACTTTCCGCCGGTGCGTACGAAAACGAACTACCTGTAAATCCGGTGAGAAGATTAGCCGTATGCAAAGGAGCACGGTGGATGCGCCGTCGCGGGGAAAGTGTATTCGCTAAGTGCACACGAGAATTGCGATCGAGAGAAGCGCAACGCCGCGGCCGCGAGAAAGGTAGAAAAAAGAAGTAAGAGCCAAAATAAAATGAGCCGGCGGAAACGCGTAAGTAACAGCTCCGGCGGCAAACCTGATAAAACGAACGGATAGGTGATGCCGCCGCCGCGGCTTTTATTTCCTTTCCGCGCGCTTCGAGAGTCGGGAGTGCTAAAATGCGAGACAAAAAAATGAAATTGAGAATTACGGCGAAAGAGAGCGGCAGGCGAGGAGCCAAAGTTACCGTCCAAGTATCATGTCTTCCTTACGTCTTCTCTTCGATCGAAAATATCTCGCGTCGTCGCGATATCACGATGGTCTATTTCGACGAAAATAAAATGTCTGTGAAATCTGCCCGAACGATAATTTTCTATATTTATAACTAAAGTGACTGCTCGTAATGTGAACATAATAGCAGAGAGAATGTCTGATGTATATTATATTATACATTAATATTGTACTTGAGAAGTCTTGAGCGCTCTTTAACTTTACATCGAAAGTTGCCGAAGATAAGAGAATTTTTTTCGACTTTATTTTTACTAACAAGAGGCTACGCAGTTCATTTTATGCACGTTAATGGAACATAATGTAAATCTAATAACGTAGACGCGCATCGACTTACCAATTTTCGACTCTTCATCTTGCGACACAACGATCTTTGATCGAAATATTATAAAGTTTCTTTGGTAGCTGTATATAATTAAATTATTTGAACAAGCTGAGATGTATTTGAACAAATTAAATTTGCTGAGCGAGAAAATATTTCTGTTCAACTCGCTTTGGTATTTCTCTTTATTAATTCTCTTATTGAATCATGAGGTGGAAATGAGAACCAAGAGCATACGACATTTGCGCAATTTTATTAATTTTGCAATTCACTCTAATTCCGTTTATTAATAAAGTATCATACAGCTACTCCTATTTGGTTATCTCTGAAAAAACATCTCCAAAGTTGGCGTGTCTTATTATCGTTCAACGTGTAAATATTAATTTCTCAATCTGATAAAAATACATAATCAATAATCGATAATTGATAGGCGATATCTTTTTTGTAATGAAATTATGACAAGTACGAATCTATTTTCGTAAAATTTGATTAATTATGTCACGAACATGAGAATTGTACAATATTTCACATTACAAATATACGCGTTAGATATATCCTTTGAGGTAAATTATACCTAAGTTTCCTCTTATCATTTTCAATCTCTCCAACGAATATACGCTTGATTATTCATATCGAAGAGAAATTGTTGAATGTGCTTTCGCAACGTACGACAGGCAACATACTGCGCGCTCGAAATCAAAGGAGCTTTTGATATCTTGACCACTCGCCGGTCCTTCAAAGAGGCATTCGGCGTTCATCATCCTTCCTTGTAACGTATGCGATTCTATTTTCGCATTTATTACGATCTCCAGGCGTGCACACATCATTCACGATGTCGCCATTCGACTCGTTCGATTTTTTCAGAGCTCGGTGCTTTCATCGCTACGTTATTACACTGCAACATGGATATTAACCGGAGTATCCACATAGGTTCTGCTTTTATTAACTTAATAACGTTTAACTTAAATATATTCGCGACGGTAGAATGTTTGGTGTTGAACGCGGAGGCGACCGAAGTCATAAAGGGCGCGCTTTCATACGGACGAAATTTTCATCTGACCATCGGACCGCGCCGTTACGTACATAATGTACATACGTACGCGTCCATGCACGTGTGCCCCCCCCCCACCCCGACCGAGC